TCCACACTTGCGCAACATAGCAGTCGTGACATGTGCATCAAGACAGTCAAAGGCCTTGGAAAAGTCTAAGGCCAAAACCATGCCCTGTTCGGAGAGCTGATCAAAAATGCGAATGAGAGTAGTGTAGATGTCTTCACCAGTGATAGCACACACTTCGGGAACCAACACAGTCCGCATCCAAGCCTGAAAAGCGTTTGCGTGATACAGCGTGGACACCCAGAGCCTCCACCAACTCCTCATGATCTTGATGGGCCGAAGCTTGTCGATAGGCACCGTTTGGTTTTGGACATGCTTCCCGGGTTTAGGCAGGCACACCATGCGCCCCTGGCAGAACTTCTCAGGCACCGCCCCCTGGTCAACCCACATCCTACCAAGCCCGCAAAGACGTCGAAGACACCGCTGGGCAAGTGCTTAACTTCACCCCCCCCGTCCAACCGTCAGGCGACCCAGCCCCGCCACCCTTACGAGCCCGGGCGAGGAGGTCCGCGCCAGAAGGCAAAGGTAACACTTCTTGAGCAGGTTGCTCAATAGTGGCCAACAGAGCAGCCTTCCGAGCGTCCAAGGAGGGCCTGTTGCGATCGAGGCGGAGCCAAAAATCACTCCAATAGTCATAGATAGCACTAGAGGCTTCCACAACCGAGTTGGAACGAGCGACCTGACCCTCAGCCCCAACAGTACTGACACAGCTGACGTATGGATGGTCCTTCGCCTTGAGCTATTTGCTAACTTCAGTGGTGGAGGAGAAGAGACGCTCCCGCCAACTCTTGAGGCTACTACGTTTCACCTCTTGCTCATGTTGCTGCAGCGAAGCATCAGCTTGTTGGATCAGATTCCCCGTGACTCGAGGACCAGTGGAGTCGAGACGACGACTAAGCGACTGAAAGTTGAGGAGCTCCTGTGCAGAAGCCACTCCAGCCTCAACCTTAGCGGCGATTCGCTGGTAGTCATATACAGCCTCGCCAAATCCTTGCGCTTCTTCCAAGCAGCCATGTTACCGTTAGAGAGCCTCGGGCCTCTACAAGCTTGGTTCTCCCACGAGACATGAGCCTCACCGCCTTTAGCCTCAAGTCTGGAAGCAGCAGGGGGCTGAACTTGAACGGCCCCAAAGGCCAGGACAAAGGTCTGACGCAGAGCCTGCTGGAACTCATCCCAAAGCTTCTGGCTTCTGAACGTCCGTGCAGCCCTGGCGGAGCAAGGAGGTCAGAACCGCTTCCCAGGCAGAGGCAAGTGCAGCTCGCCACTGGTCTGTAGGCACCTCATGCAGGGGGTCACCGCAAGTCTCCTGTACGTGGCAGGACTGCAACGCGGACACGTGTGTAGTCAGCCTGAAGCTGAAACTGCAAGTCCTTATGATCGCTTATGCGCTCACTGCCCGCGAGGACAGGCATGGCAGCAGATCTGTTACAAGCGATCCAGTCTATCTCTCTCTGCCCTTCCCACTTAGTGGGCTGGCCAGTTCCGTGGTACTCCCCACCGAGAGCCTGAGCCACCCCCATGACGCTAGAGTCGGAAGGAAGCTCGTTGCGATCACCCATGAGGACCCAAGGCTGTTGCGGAGGGATTTTGTCAGCGACAAACAGATCCAACAAGAGCGTACCCGCCTGCGAGGGACCATCTTCGTGGGGGTGGGTGTACATGTTGGCGACCATCCATCCCCCAGCCCAAACACCGAGGACCTCAGCATCGGACATACAACCACCCACAGGAGGGGCGCTGGGGGATGGATTTACGCACCAAAGTGATAACACCACCAGCCCTCCGTGAGCCCCAGAGGCGCCCTGAGAGTAACCACAGTAACCATACCGAGAGGCGGTTCGGAGAAAACCCGTAGTTTCACTACTTGACATGGCAGTTTCCTGCAAGCACACGACATCCCGGTTGTCCTGGGACAGATGCTCCCGCACATAAGTCCAAGCCGCAACCGCTCCACCAGTGTTCAAGCAGAGAAAAGACAAGGCACTGGCCGTAGCACCCTTGCGACCACAGGGGCCCGGGTGTGCGGCCTCACCAACTCTCTCGTCTCAGCACAAGCGGTGCCTGGCAGTCTGAGCAGCGGACAGGCGCAAAGAGCTAGGACCCGGGCGAGAAGCCTCTCCCACCCTCTGAGCCCGGTGACCACCGAAGCGGTGCTTGGCTGACTGAGCAGCAGACAGGCGCGACGCAGGTCGCTTCTTCGGCCCACCACCTGAGGTAGAGCGTGCCGGGCGAGGTGCCCGCCTGTTAGCCTGCGCCTTAGCTTTACCCGACATGGCCGCCCAAGCCCTCTGCCGAGGAGTGAGCGGGTCGTTGCAACCCACAAGCTCATCAACATGAGCAGCGGTGAGTCCAGTGTACCGAAGGAACTCGTGTCCGGCCTCCACATCCCGGTGCTTCAGCCTAAGCCACCACTGGCGCTTTCGCGTGCGGACAAGATGTAGTTCGCGGATTCGGCGTAACCATTCAGCGCACGGAAGGTGCCTGTTCGTGTTGTGGGACCGTGAGGCACCTCCTACACACGACGAATCGGCCTCGCTTGTCCGTGGGCCAAGCCGCGGGACGGTACACGACAAGGTCGTGCGTGCAGTGCTTATTTGCACGCTCCTGAGCATGCTTCTTCCGCTGCAGCTTAGAGACTCCCCTGGAGCGCTTCGGAGTGCCCTTAAAAGCCATAACGGTGTACTGAAAAAGGTGGCCCTTGAACTGAGGATGAACCTGGCGGAGATGCTCACGTTTCGCACGTTTTGCGGGCCTGTGCAGGCAAGTGAGGCAATCGCATGCCGCATCCCTTGATGGGACAAACAAAGTCAGTCTGTTCAGGAGGGAACTGTACAGAGAAAGCCACCGCAAGCGGCTGCTCAGCTTTGAACAACTCGCAGGGCACATCCGGATGCCTGTTACGAACATGGTGCCACTTGGTACCAAGAGGCATGACCGTATGACAAACCGGGCATGACAATTTACCAGAAGAAGAAACCGAAGCGCCCGAAGACCAATGATCCTGAGGCGTTTAGGAGGGCCATTAGGGCCAAGAAGCGCATCGAGGTTCGCACGGTTCTTGTTTTCAGTAGTAGAAGACTGAGCCGGAAGCCAAGACTCAGCACTAGCGGTCCCTACAGCAGACTTGGGCGGCAGCCAACACTCGCTATCTGAGGACTCAGGCGGAGGCATCCAAGCAACACTATCTGAAGGCGCAACCGAGCCCGAAGCTTGGGAGCCTGCCGAACCAGTCTGAGGCCGACGCGGGCCACCGCCACCACGCAGGTGTTCACTGAGAGCCCTTTTGCGGCACGCAGTCAGCCCACGCACTAGGGAGCTCACGACGCACCTTAGGGACAAGCACCGTGTAGTGGTCGTCCCTCAAAGCAAGCACCAGGGGCTGCGTGCTACGAGCGGCCTTACCAACGGCTATAGGGTTCTTCCCAGGAGTTCCCGTTGTGACGCACGACAACGATACGCACTCCAAGACGGCGCGCGGCCGCGCGAAGAGTGAACTGACAAATCCATCTGCGGGGGCGGAGGATATTATCATGTCACGTGTCAAAGTCAGTAGGGATCGAGCCTCCCTCAGTAGTCTCAGATGCACGAGGATCTAAGACCCAGCCATCAGAAGCTTCCTGCTTGTGCTCCGCAATCCACTGATGCACCTGCTGACGCAGGGTCTTGCCCCGCGCCACAGCCTTAGAGAGAAGCACGGCCTCATCCTCTCCCTGCCTCAACCCGTAGGCGACAGCAACCGAGTTGAAGCCACAAGTCCCATCTCCCCCCGCATCAATCTCACGCCATGAGACATCAACAGGGGAGCGTGTGTGGGCCCTGTCGCGGGCAGCAGCACCGGAACGATTCTGAGGACGGCTGTCGTCCTCATCCATCTGAGTGGGCTCAGCAGCCATCCTTAGGATCACTGCCACCCTCAGCATCAACCTGCATATCAGGATCAACCGTCCCGGCAGGAAGAGAACCGGAACGTTAGCGTCCGCAGAACCCCCTGTCGGAGCCTTTAGCGAACCGAGGGTGCAGTGGAGTCTGCGAAGAAACCTTGACCTGGCTACGGCCAACGACTCTATCAAGCAAGAGAGCGGCATCCGTGCCAATCTCAATGCCAAGAAGATCACAGGGAGCATCGTGCGGAGCCCTAGCCCTGATGAACCACGGACGCCTAGGAAAACTGGGCACCGACCCAGCACTAGCTTGTCAACACAGAACAACTGCAACCAAGGGGTGCATCCTGAGCGGGACCAGCCACTTCTCTTTCCCATTAGTCACAGCAAAAGGAAGCAGCCTCACCAGTCTTGTCCTCGGGACTGCTCTTCACGAGCAGAGCAAAACGACCCTTAAGCTCATGCAGCGTGGCGAGCTGCATAAGCTGTTTGGCCTCCAAGTCGCTCCTACACCAAGTAACAACCCCGTCAAGGAACTCACCAGCCTCGAGAGACTTGCGCACTGCCGACACGTTGCGCACCCTGTTTTGAGGCCACGACGAAGCAAGCAAGTAAGCATGCTCAACAGGCGTAGCACCTTCCTTGTCCGAGCCAGAGCTCGCAGTCTTAAGCCCTTTCTGGACCTTCTGAGCCCAGGACGCCGGAGGCTCACGAGTCTCGGTCTGAGGCCGGGCTCGCCAAGAGGTCGCTTCAGCACCTCCTTCCCCAGCCCACCAAGCACCACCCTGACTGCCGTACCCCCACCAAGGCATGCACTGGTTGCAAGCCGGATCCTGTCCGTTAGGTCAACCTGAAGCAGGTAACCGGATCAACGGGCCTGGCCCAGCAGGCGAGTTACGGGTAAAGAAGTCAACAACAACGATGAACAACTATGAACAAGTTCAACTGTTTCCGATCAGTTTGAAGTTGCGTGGACAGGGCGAATGGGCGAACATGAACAACGACTCAACGTCGCAGTAGCCATGAACAAATGTTACCAACGAATATCCATAATCCTGTAATCGGACTGGCATGGGCTGGTCGAGTGTCCTTGTGCAAATCCAATGCCAAGCATATGAAAGAACTGATTGCAAACTCAGATGCATTTAAGACCGCAAAGCTGCAGAAAGCTATGTACCAATCGAACAGTCGCACCTCAGATGTGTGGCAATGGAAGTGGTGATTCTGCAGGAGGGCGAAAATTCACAGACCCAAATGTTGTTGGCAGTGTTGACACATCCAAGGGTCCCAGAACTCCCCCAAAGGCATCAGTGCATCAGCCGCCTCGCCCCAATCTATGCCACCTGCCAACAGCGAGTTCTGACATCGTAAAGCAATGCCGTGCGAACAAAAACAAGCGAGAAACAAACGGAGAATAATTGGCCGTGCATGCTTGCACATGCTTCCATCCATGGGCCGAGGTTACTTCCGTTTCGACATCTCCGTTCAACGTTCCCACTCGGGAAAGGGCCGTCCCGCCCAGGTCATTATTGATCCCGAAGCCACACGTCGTATCGACCGAGCTCCGGTGCTCAAGGTACACTGTCTCCAGCGCTTTCAAGGGCCTTCACGGGAACCGCAAGCAGAATTCTCGGCACTTTCTTCGCCTGCCCCACAACCAACGGGGATGGTCAGACCGTGGATTGATGGAAATCGCAGCAAAACTTTGAAGAAAACAGATTCTCGGATAACGTGTACTACATGACCCGTACTATCGAGCCCAATTCTCGGCCGCTACGCTGTCAGCCCAGCACTCGTGATGATCTGGGTTCCATCTGCGCATGCTGCGTACCAATACTCTTAAGCTGTACACTTGTCGACATGCACATTTCACCGAGAAGCCCCGAAGCTGTTGACACGTGCCAGTGACCCTTATACACTGTCCAGCCGTAGGCTTTGCGAGCAGCACAGTGCGTTTCGGACTTGAGCCCGGCAAGTCTGTAAAAGCCACTTGTCAGTATCTGTTCTCCGCATGGCTTCAACCGTACGAGTGCCCTTGTCTCACGAAGCCAACAGGTTTCCATCGCGGAGTGCGCGTACTGTTTGGCATATGCCGATTGGACCTGAGGATGAAGGCCCTGGGTTTGCCAAGAGTCAAGCTTTGCCAAGCCCTCCCGGTGCTTGGATACAGGCAAAACTGGGACCGCCTGGCCACGAAGGAGATCGACAAGAGTCGATGCTTCTTGAACTCAAGCGTGGCTCAACTGCCAGAGCTTGACTTCTGCGATCAAAATCGAATTAAAGCATTGATACGACGCAGGAACCAGCTGCGAAGCCTGGGCTGGATCGTTTACACCAACATGAACCGGAAACGGAGCGAGATATCAAGTTACGCATGACAGGCCCCTGTAGTCTTGTGTGCATTCCTGTGACAGGGTCAGGGTGGGTGCTTTTGCTGTGATGACCGTTGGCATGTGTGTTGTGTTTTGCTAGTCTGAGACCCCAGGATATCGCAACGATGGCTCCAATCACAATACAAGACGGCAAGCCCAGCAGGGTGCAACACGGATTGATGGACATTGACAAAGCACGCACTGTGAGATGTGACGCTTGAAGACCTGCTCGTAACTATTTATTTTGTCGACGGTAATTAGGCACCTGCCCGTACACAAAAAAGCAAACATCATCCGACAACCGCAGCTTTTAGCGGCTTGGCATGGCCACCTAGAAGTGAGCGGAACAGCGTCTCCGTTGAAGTCCACACCTCGGCCCAGAAAGCTTGCAAACCTGTGTGGGATAGGTTCAAGCTCCAACAACACCTGCATATGTGCCGCGAAGGCACATTCCCGAAGTATTTCCTCATCTTTTCTGCATCCACGACAGCATCCGGAGAGTGAACGTGATCGAGGGCGGCGTCAGTGAACAGTATCCCAAACGTATACTGGATCAGGAGTAACCTTGCTGAAGCAACTCAGAGAGTACCGCCGCCTTTCACTACCATGACGTCACAAGTGATGAACAAGCCAGAGTAAGAATCCTGGAGGTCCGAGCCGCAGCAGCAAAGCCCACACCAGCGATTTCGTAGTATCTGCTATCGAGTAAACAAGTGTCCGTAGCGCGCCAATGAATCTCACCAGACTGAGAGAACGCACCACCTTCACCAATCGAGTTATGCGAAAGATTCCTTAGTTTGGACACTGAGATCGGAGCAAACCGATGCAAACACGGCATACCATGCCATCAAGACTCGCATGATTCGGAAGTTGCTGGCAGCTGCAGAATACTTCCCAGAATTATCGAGGAGGTCCACGACCAATTCGACCCACGAGGACATAACCTCAAATTACAAAGCTATTCGCTCTCGGCATCCTCCGGGACAAACGTTGTGGCTAATGAGTCACTAACACCCGGGTCTACACATCGTCACCACCAAAACCTGGATATAAACTCTACACAAATTCAAGAGGACATGCTGTTGCAGTTTCTACGTCTCTAAATGTGCAAGCAGGACTCGGCAACAATATCCAGCCAGTGCCAGGCCCAACCGCTTGCACACACATAGGAAATTGGTCCAACCGCCAGGATTCGGATCATGATCTCTATGGAGAAGAGCCCCACGTAAACAAGATGAATGATGAACCAGATTGGATGCACAAACATTGTTCCCGAGTTGGCTGTAAGTTCCACTTGTGCACCAAGATAGACGGAATTAGTCAGAATCACAATAGCAAAGAACACGTTGAAGGTCGTGGAATTCGCTGCTCTGTAAGCCCATGTAGAGACTTTTTTGCGGAGTGGTCCGAGCCCAGTCTTGTCAAGATCCAGCGAATCGGATATGAGGTTCTTCCAGGACTCAACATACGTGGCTTGCATTTTGGCAGTCTCGTAGCTTTCACTTCGTGATAAGGGTTTCCTCAACGTGGGAACAACACGTTGATGGTTACCCTCGTCGCTGCACTCTTCCCGAACCGAAGCTTCAGGATCTGCCTTGGAAACACCCTCCTCATCTGTTACCGTCTCCTTGCTTTTCTGCCATGCGAAGTCAATGTCCGGAACCTGGGTTACTGCCGGTCCGTAAAAGGGATGTGGAAGAAGCCGAGAGTCGGACTGCCCATACTTCCGCAGTTTCGAATCTAAGTTGTCCAGCCATTCTTGCATCTGCGACAACAGCTCTGCGTGGTGCCTTGCAGGACATGTCAAGTCAACACCCGGATGGGGCCAGACGGAAACTGTCGAAGAAAGACTTACGAGCGAAGCTCCCAATTAACGGCAGAGCCCTGTGCAAAAACTCAAAGCGCCGTGAAACACATTGCTTACCTGTGTTCTGTCCAGATTGCTCGTCGCGTGAAAACTCGCAAACTTGCCTTGTATTATCCGCTACACCGAAAACGAAACAATGCAAACCCTACCTTTGGAGCACATCTTCCACCATGTCAGGAACAGGCTTCGTCGACATGTCCAGCGAACGCAGAGTTCAAGCTGATCCACGAGGCATGCCTACAATGGGCTCCTACATCCGCACTTTCCAAACTTACGGAAACATGCAAACACCTGCGACTACACAACCGCCGCCATGAAGCCTCAGTATGTAGTTTCGGCAAACTATACAGCAAATGCACTGGTTTGACACTTGAGTTGCTATCCTCGATGCTTAGCCGTCCTAATTAAGTCGTAGGTGAGTCTCAGCTCATGTTTTGCATCTTGAACCGAAAATCCGAAACATCTGACAAGCGTGCATGCACCATGAGACAGCAAGCACCGACTCGCACCAGCAAGCTGCGCATACAAAATCACAAAATCCAGTGTCAAATGTATCGATCCTTAGTGTGATTGCGGACAACTCTAAGTCCCCAATAAAGGATCACGACATCCTGATCGACAAGCCGAAGATGGCTGTTCGGCCCTGTGAGTAAACCTTGCAGCTCGGCGATTGCTACAATGCAGGTCGGCAACAACAACTGCAAGCAAGGAGAAATCTGACGAACTTTCGCCATGATCCGACTGTTGGGTATAGCGGCCAGTTGCGATCCATGCCTTGCTCGGAATACCCAAGTGACGTGACGCTATAATGCTGGATAGGCGCCTCTCGTTTAAACCGAATGTGATTACCTGCCAGCTCTACAAACCTCCTTTCTTCACAATCCGGCTGAACTGTGTTTTTTTGTGGGATTTTGGTCAAGACGGTTACACAGTGCTACAGCACATAGCTTTGTTGGACCACATACTTGTTTCACATTTCATATTCCTTCATACTCCTTCTATGCACTGCCTACGGCTTCGACAGCTGAGGTCGCAGTGCAGAGCTGTGATCTGACGGCGAGAATGTGCTCAAAGCTGTGCCATTCGGATACAATGCGGACGCATGTCCGTGCACGATTTGTATGGTCACGACCTTGCACGTCCCATGCGGTCGCCGCTTGTAGTCGAGTCGAGAAACGAAAAACACCCTGTTACAATTCAATGAACCCCAAGCACACGCCCATTGTTTGTTCTCTTTTGCTGCGGCCTGCGACAACTGCTCTCTAGCAAAGGCTCTACGTTCTCGATCAGACAGTTAGCTAATTATAGCTTCACATGCAATTCAAACGCAAATGTTTACGCCTTCAACTGTTCATTCAACACCGGCAAAACATGGCAAAACAACAAAATCCTGAGAAGAGCCACTCAGCTAGGACGGAAGGGGACCGTGCTCAGGCCACCAAGGCGGGTCCAAGCATGCCTTCGCCGAGTAATTCGGGCTCCGGTTGAGGACAAACCAATGGCCTCTCTTGGCTCGCCGTAAGGAAATTTTCGTATGCGGCACTCAGCAAAGATCCGCTGTCGGGTCGCGTGGCGCCGAGCACAAACGTTATGCACTTGTCAGGTAGATCTCTGTCATGCTTATGCCGGGCGTGACAGCTTTCCAACACTTCGTAATCATGCAGAAGCCAACATGTTCCTGGCCAATCCTTGAGGATCTGATGCCACAGAAATGCTGTTTGTTCCGGACTCCGCACTCCATGGGTAAGCAAGGCTGAGGTCTTGGAACCAACCATCAAGCGCCACAAGAGCCGCAGCAAGTCGTCGTGGCAGCGGCTCCCATATGTAATGTCAGAGCCCAAGATCACATCGAAGTGTCCAGCAGGCCAAGGTGGATCCGCGTGCCAGTCAAGCTGGGCTACCTCGAATCGCTGCGCCTGCGACCCAAGCTGTGCTGTGCACCGCAATCTTGGCAGAATCTCTGCTCGATCCGTTGCAGTTACCTCTGCACCCAGGCTAGCTGACACGGCAGACACGAGGCCGCAACCAGCACCGAGTTCCAAGACCCGCTGACCCTCCACCAGCGGTTTGTGTGAGCACAGAAAACTGCTCAACTGATGTGCTGCCTCCCAAACCACGAAGCCTGTGATTGAAAAGCCGCCGAAGGATTCCTCGAACTGGACTTCCACTTCGCCAGAGAAGCTTCGCCATGTTCGCACTGTTGCAGCAGTGTCTGCTGGCATAGCGAGACTGTTTTGTTTGATGTTCTTGCTTTCCATGTGCCACAGCTCCTACAAATTGGACGGCCAGCTGGTGCCTGGATGAATGGTGTGATGGTAGCAGGCCGTGCGCCTAAGTGACATGAGTGGAGCAATCGGCAAAAGCTCAACACGCACAGCTGCGCTCAGGCCGGCTCTCTCCTTGAGTCATTGAGCCAGCTGGTAGACTTCTAGAGTCGACGGCACCGACAAGACGCTTTAGCCCGAAGCCCTCCCGCTAGCAGCGTTCATACGGAATCATGATCATGATTGATGCTCACGTGTAACGGCACTTTTGCCGCAGTCAATTGGGCAGGCCAGGTGGCCATGTCCTCACACGCTTAGCTGCAGCAAGAAGGACCCACGGTGGCATCAACGCACATGACATTCCAGCCTAAGGCATCTAAGGCCCACTCACTGTGGGCACATGCAGCAATCAGATTTCTCGCTTGTTGGAAGAATGCCATCAATGTATCAGTGAACTTCCGACAGTCCTCGTATGAAGATAGACGCGGTTGGTATGCCATGATAGCGGGATGACACCGCGGTAGCTCATCCGCCTCAAGTTTGGCAGGGAAATCGGGATCTTCATGCCCGTCCTAGTGCACTGTGGGTACGTGAAGACGTGATGCAGGCTCTCGGTGATTTAAGGATGTTGCCTGATGCCTTCCTTCTCATCCGGCATCAAGCTGAATTTCTGTGCCACGCCCTGTCAAAAGCTGCGGGATTCGTGAGCAAGTAGTGCCGCGTTGACCGAAGCTGCTGCTTGGCCTTGTACTTCGCATCCTCGTACTCCATTCGAAGGACCTGCGGACTCGCGGTTGTATGAAGTCCAAGCGAGCTTACCCTGCTGCACTGAGTCACGGCGTCCGTCGTGCCAGCTGTGACGTCTTTCATTCAGATCCCTTTCTAGGTGCAGTATTGGAGGTCTTGAGGCAAGTCGCTTGCACATGGCTTCCATCATAGCTCACTCCTTAGAGGACTGGCCTTGGACTGTCCAGCAAAACTGTCGATGTTCTCGACACTGACGACAGCTGCCTGCACTGCTACAGTGAATCACACGGCCTGAGGTTTTGAAGCTGTGCTCGTCTAGCGTATGCTTTGAACACAGACCTCTTGCAATGTGGCCCCTGTGCATCGAGAATCAAACACGTGCATGTACCTCTATTTGCTATCTTGGAACGTTAGTACGCTTGTCATGTGCTTGAGGATGTGCTTCCGATTGGTGCAAGATCTGTGTTTAAAGGTTCAAGCATTGTCAACCACTTGGAGTGAAAGTTGTCGCAGCAGCTTCAGCTGCCCTCCTCCCAAAGCTTGAGCCGCCTAGGCAAGAGTTCCAATCTGAACTGGGGGCTAAAGTGCTTGGACCCCACAGATTTTCGGCGCAGGCCCTGCTGAACCCAGCAAAGCAAATCCGCATCCAGAACCTTTCTCGCAATCTTTGCCCCAAGTCATGTTTTACTTGGGCTCACGCTGCGCGAATCTGAGCGGCAAGGTGATCATCGAACGCCTGCGAACTTGCGCAACTATGGAAGTAGCGAGTCGCGAGACGGCCTGCACCGAAAGTTTGAAGGCATACGCGAGACTGACAGACAAATCGGCTGCCCATCTTTGAAACTCCTAATCCTTCAAGACGGTGTGCTCAAAGAGCCCTCCTGTGCCGAGGCCAGGTGCGACAGGTCCTAACAGAGCATGCCGAAGACAGACGGAGACTTCTTGTTGCCGTGCTTCTGAGGACAGCAGATCAGCTGCACTTTCATGTACCGTACCGAGAGTTCTTCCAGTCGAGTTTACCCGAATGGTGGACCGGCTTGGGGGGGGGGGCACAGGATGTGGTTTGGAAGATTAGTGTTGCAGTTGCTTCAGAAGCCTCGTACACCCGGGGCATATTCACATCTGCTGGCCTGACCGTACAGCCTTTTTGATGCTAGCTCTTGTGTAGGCCTGAACCCTTCATGAGATTTTCTGGCTTTGATGCGACTTGCTAGTTCGCGGCTACCCGCATGAGGTCCTGCGACTACTCGTTGCACGACCTGTCATAACCTTTGAGCAGCGGAGACATATTGCAAAGCCGGTAATTTGAGTGGAGCAGTGTAGAGGTCCAGATTGATGAACCTTGCAGCATGTTGAATCCCAATCTGTTTACTATGTTTACGGTAAATACAGCCACAGATCTCCCACTAAAGCACTCCTGCTTGCTCCAATCGACCATTACATCGTTCAGCTTGATCTTCCTGGCATGCCAGCACCAATCGGCAAACTGATTCCAATCCGATCGTCCGTTTGGAGGCAGCAACCTGTACTGCCGTTTCGTGCCTCCGCCAATCCCGGCCCCTTCCCGTCTTCACCCGCTCCGGCCATGCACCATGCTCTTGGCAGACAAATCCGCAACCTCCCGCCCAGTTCAGAAAACAAATTCCTGAAGCATAGACTGCAACGCTGCTTCGCCGTGAGGCTCCACTTTCCGTCGCGAAGGAGTGGGAAGCATTGCTGCTTCTGATGATGCTTGTCGGGGTCTGTGGGGAGCGCAGATTTTCCGGAAATTTGATGTCAGGCGTTCTTATCGAAGCCACCCAGCTCGCAAACCGTACAACTTCCGAAGCACGAAAAGCTTGTGCCAAAGCAGAAATCCGCCGACTGGCCAATCAGCAAGCACTGCAGTCCCTACACTGTAAACCAGCGCCCTACTGGCCCAGTGTGCCTCCAGACGAAGGACAGTTCAACATGGCAGAATTGCAAGTATATACACAAGTGAACAACTCCAAATTTGTGACGTGCTTTGCTGACCGTCAAGGGCAGCCCTGCAATCTGCCGTGCCAAGGGCCCGGCCCCAAATGTTGCTTGAAGAACTGACCTGTGATGCAGGCTTGGCGCTGCAAGAAGTTCGGAATGCCGGGACCAGGACACGGCGGGGAACAAGGGCAGGTCTGCCGTCCCACACCTCCAGAGACTCCCTCCTCACCGAAGGTAAATGATCGGCTGATCTCCGGCCTCGCTTCGACTGTGTCTGCGCTTGATCGGATTGTTGGGGAGCTCGTCGAAAGTGTTTACATGATTATTTGCATCGTTTAGGGTAGCCAGGGTAATCCTGTCCCGGGTAAACCTCGTATTTTGTGCATAGGCTGAGCTGCTGATATACCGATTGTTTCTGTCTTGGACTCTCTCCAAGGATGTGCATGGATTTTGAGCTCGACCTTTGTCTTCAGATTGTAGATTCTCCGGAACCAGCTTGAGGATGCTCGGATCTCAGGAGAGGAGGTCATTGTTGTCGCAGTTGCTCAGGGTGGGAAGCGCAACGAGCGAGGGGAACAGGGCAAATGTCCGTGGGAGTGTGTGAAAAGCCACGGGGGAGCAGTCCTAGTTCACCAAGGCCAGCGCTAGGACCATGACCACCAGAACTCACAACAAGTCTAATTATTATTATCATTATCTCATTACTGTTATTATTAGCAGTAGTGGGAGTACTAGTAGTAGTAGTAGTAGTAGTAGTAGTAGTAGTAGTAGTAGCAGCAGCAGCAGTAGTGGTAGTGGTAGTAGTAGTGGTAGTAGTGGTAGTGGTAGCGGTAGTGGTAGTGGTGGTAGTAGTAGTAGTAGTAGTAGTAGTAGTAGTAGTAGTAGTAGTAGTAGTAGTAGTAGTAGTAGTAGTAGTAGTAGTAGTAGTAGTAGTAGTAGTAGTAGTAGTAGTAGTAGTAGTAGTAGTAGTAGTAAGTAGTAGTAGTAGTAGTAGTAGTAGTAGTAGTAGTAGTAGTAGTAGTAGTAGTAGTAGTAGTAGTAGTTGTGGTAGTAGTAGTAGTAGTAGCAGTAGTCGTAGAGATAGAAGAAGGAGTCGGAGGCGGAGGAAGAGGAGCAGCAGCAGCAGCTGCTGCTGTTGTTGCTGTGGTGGTGCGGTTGGAAGGTTGCGACGACAACGGTTGGGGGGACGGTGGGGACGACATTCGGGAGAAGGATGGGGAATGTCAAACTGCCAGCAAAACCAACCATGGGAGAAAAATAGTGGAGAGATTAGACGAAAGGAGGGCGGGGGTTTGGGAGTTGTTTTATCGAAGCGGTATGCATTCTAGGATTCTAGGTTGAGGCTTCACAATCCAGGTACCAGCAAAAGACATTGCTGATGAGAGCCGTTTGATATAAGGAGTGAGAAAAACGGAGCCACGACATTGAACGATGCTTTTCGAACAAACGTGGTCATGGGGTCTGCAATTTGATACCCAAGTTGCAGTGCTGTTTTGCGGAGGGATGAAAACCACACGGGCTGTGGTCGGGACTATGCTCGAGAAGCAAGGCCAGGCTTATGCGATCTTCTTTGCCTGTTGCAGCTCGTGGAAAAGGCTGGGCTTCCGCGCCTGATGCAGTGCCTGCCTTTGCGAACATCGGGTCTCCTCATGAACTCGTCCCAGTAAGCAACCTGCGCGGAAGCCAACTTCGTCAACTCAAGGTCTCGTGCAAATGAACGTGAGCTTGCTTTTACAACTTATGAAGCACTCGTGAAGGCATCATGCGCAACTCCCATCCGCATGCTTACTGATGGGGTGCCAAGGCGTAAAGGTTCGAAGTGACAGAGTCTAACGGCTCGCAGAGAAACCAAGGTGGCTTTCGGTACGGCATCATGTACGTGCTTTGAGTCCAAAGCGCATCTGCAGATGGTGTCAAGCAATTCCAGCCGTCGCTAGAGCACTGCTTGATCCGGATCTCGCCGGATCGCCAAGAACCAGAAGATCAGGCAGAGGAGCATGGAAATTCAGCCATGCTCACCCAAGTCCATCGACCCTCCGTTGTCCACAAGAGTTCATGACCACAATCCAGGTCTCCCTTTGTTGGGAAGCTCAAGCATGCTGCATAAGTTCCAGGAAACGCTTCCAGGTTAGCTGCCCGTCACAGATCTCTGCCAAGCTTTCAGCACAAATGCCTGAGCCTTAGAGCAGGGAGGCTCACCGTCACGCACTGCTCGCCTTGACTGCGGTTCAGGCAGGGGCCTTTCTCGTCCTTGTCAGGGAAGAAGGCCTGATCCAAGGAACAGTCTTGCAAGATCCCTGATGCTAAGCTCAGGCGTCTTGACCTCATAATCTTCGCAGTACTTCATGGTGTCTAGTCTTCAGTGCACTATGACTGGCTGGATTCGCATGCGATGACATGTAGCTGCAATGCAAAGACTGCCGAGCCGGTAGAGACGAGTCGAGCAACCTGTGCCAGATCAGCGGCATCAATTATCCCATCACAATTTCGGTCCAGGATCTCGAAAACGCCTTGCAGAAGTACATTGGTCTGCACAAGCCGCAACAGGCTAGCACGGTGACCAAGGAGCAAAACGTCATGTCTGCATGTCAGCTCCACCAGGCATGAAGCATGTCATGGTCGAACCCTCGCCTAGGCTATGAACATCCTGTGATCTTCTTTCAAAGCTGGGCCGCGGCGACAGAATGTCCGGTCGCTGCGAGCCCAGCGCGGTAGCGTGGCTGAAAGGAATTCGATGTAGGTGATGTAGCCTGCAGGGTGCACCTACGCCGGTCCACTGCCACGAAGGCGAAGGCTGCTCCGATGACAGGGTCCGGCAGAAAAAAGGGGCAATCTTATGACTCGAAGCAACACATAGAAAGCGCGGACAAACAAAAGACTGCTGTTGAACGTAAATCCTTGTTACAGGTATAGCCAGGCATGTGACCCGTCTTGTGGTGCCGCGAACCGCAGAGGATTGTTTATCAACACCTGGGGGTTGAAGGTTGAAGACGCCACAAACCAGCTGAATCAGTAGTGGCTTGCCTACAGCAGCACTCAGAACCCTAGTCCAAACTTTCCACGGAGGTGTTACCACATAACCAGGCCGTCGTCGTCCACATCCACACCGCTGAATGCACTTTCCAGCATTTCTGGCATTGGCATGCCTTGGAACAACACAGAACTCCGTCGCGGCAAGTCGAGTTCTGCATCCAGGCGCCCGACACCTTGTCCTGAAGCCGAGGAGCCGCTGTCTTCGTAGAAGGCTTCCAAATCTTCCATGGACAGTCCGCCACTCACCGACCTTCGCTGCTTCGGCTGTGGCTTCTGGCCCTGGCCCATGGCCGCCCCGTCCCTGCCTGTCAAGCTTGGAGAAGGCCACCCGCTGTGGCCGTGCGTGTTCGAAGCTGTAGGCCCCGACGTGTGCCATCCTGACCCGCACACGCTCACCAGTGGACCAGCACTGCTGAAACGCGCCAACGCAGCCGAACTGCAGGAGTAGGGCAGCACGGACCAGGACCGGCTGTGCAGCAAAGGCTGTGAAGTGTCCCACGAGCTGGTCCACGATCTCCTGGACTCTTTAGTTTCTGAGGCTACGCTGGCTGCGCGGGCAACATTACTCACTTCTGCCTCGAGTTGCGAAAACAGGAGAAAATTTGTAGTCAATCTGAAATACATGCGATTGGCATCGACCGGTCAAAGGTATGAACTCTGCACGTCTCATCCCTCATCCTGCGGGGGAATAGCGAGAGCCTTCCGTCCTGCGCTTGCCGATCCAGCTCTGCATACTCAGGGTTGTGTTTGCACAAGGCCTCCGCGGCCTCCTTGGTTTTCTTCGCTGGCAAAGCTCTCCTTGCAACCCTTCCTTGCAACCCCCGGGTGTCAGCTGCTTGATGCTCCCTCGCTGGCAGTGCACACTGATGACAAGCAGCTCGCTCGCTGTGCAGTGTGAAGAAGGGATGTTGAAGAGCCTCTCGCGCAGTGAGCCTGAAGTGCCGGTCGTGGCCTTGGATGTTTGAGCCTGCATGAACTGACCAATTATGATCAGGTTTACTTGTATCGTCTCAAGGCTCGGAATACCCTTCGGGATCCAGTCAGAACACGTTCGACGTGCATTGGTCTGTTGTGCCTTGTTTTTCTCGGGTTCGGGATTGCAAGAAACGAAGTGGCTCGAGCCTCGGAGACAAGAAGGATTGAGTTTCTCTTAGATACACTTATCAGGAACGACTGCGACATGCGATTCTAAGTTCCGAAACAATCGGCAATCGCCGGACATTGGTTAAACTTTAAACTCGGCCCTTCTTCCTTTCCTTACCCTTCGGGACATGAAGGAAAGAGCAAGCACTCCCTCCCCTGCGCACCCCGCGTTTGATTGCTATGTTATCGAAAGGCGGTTTCTTCTCTATCACTTTGTCCCGCTCTTGTGTTGGCTAAGATCGCTGCTGCTTAAACGTGCAAGTTTCCCACTGACTCCTTGCAAGAACAAGCGCGTGAACGAACCATCCAAGCACAGCAATGCTGAGGTGCGCATCAATTTGCTGACGAGGTCAATCGCTTCCTGGCAGCGTGCAAATGTGTGCAATGCCAAGTGTTTAGATTGTAGTTGCCTTGCACGTCATTGAAGCTGTGATATGCGTGGCCAAGAACGACATGGCTCGATTTCGCAGAGGAAGCCAAAACCTGTTTGTCCTATTCTCCTGTGCTTGCAATGAACCATCGTTGCCCCGTGCACAACAGAAATAGTGCATTCTGGCACATGCGAGCTGCCTTGGAAAGGCCGGAATCCCGCAGCACTCTCAACCTGGCCGACCAGGACGCTCAAACGGGATGCCAGACATGGACACTGCAATGCTCATTCATGTCTCGTTTGCGTGAGTGTTGTCAAGCCCGATTGCTTTGAATCTTAAGAAAACAAGATTCGACAAGCCAACCCCTATTTTTCACCCCTTCCTGTTATTTGGCACGAGTCTCGCAAATCACCCCTTCTCTCTCTCTCTTTCGATCTCTCTCCCTGCTTTGCTTTCCTAGAAGCAATCCCATACCGTTGGATGGGCTGGAAGCTTTTTCAGGAAGGTATTGTAATCCAGGCACATGGGCCCACACTCAACAAAAACATGCACTGGTTGTCAGCCTCCCAAGTTTTTGCTAGCCGCCGTGGCAAACCAATCTATGATGATCTACGGTTCACGGAAGTCAAACATGGTGCCCCCTATCGATATGAACTGAAACCATGGGTGTTCCGCGACTGTTCCGAGAAAAAGATGGTCCCCCCTTCTGTCCACCTCATGTCATAGAGGGGTCACACTACGTGGCATATGTTGTGTGCATGCCAAAATTTCGAGCCTATGTGCCACTACCACTGCTCTCACCTCTGGATGCCTCCCAGTCCCAGTTCAGCCGAGCGCTCTTTCGCCTTGGTTGTGCCTCGCCTTTGGTCCTTGCCAAAGCATGCCGTGGCCCTGCCCGGTCTTGGAGTCTTGGTCTTCTCACGCTCGATCACAAAGTCGTGGCAGGATTCACGTTCTGCTTGGAAGGGGGCCAAGGTCAGCAGAAGACTTGCGCAAGTGCACTGGGCCCTGTTAGCCAATCTTGGTACGCGTGGTTTCAAGCACCAGAGGAAGCCCTCCGTGCAAAGGTATGGATGTTGAATCAAAAATCATCGCTCTCTCGCTCGGTGTCTCTGTCTCTATCTCTCTCTGTCTCTCTTTCTTCCTTTGTGTGTCTGTCTGTCTGCGTGTCTGCATCATCCGTGTACCTAGAGGCTAAAGTAACTAACCTACATGCTGGATCTAGTTGTCTCAGGGCTGAGGGTCCTTGACTTGTGTCTCAGCCAACGGAGACCGCAAGTGCAACGGCGTGCATGCGTACCTGCAAAGTTGCACCTGGATCCCGTAGTGGACAACTGGTGGACTCGGACTTGCCTTCGGTGCTTTGCTTTCATGACAGTTCTCAGAGAGCAAATGTGCATTTCAAGCTATCTGTCGCAGTCTCCCTCAAGTCAGCTAGGTAGAGAAAGTGAGTTTCGATACCGGTATGCCCAATAAATGGCAGAAGCAGCAACTCAGCGACGAGAGACAATGCAAAGAATAGCTACATGACCGACGTCATTACCGATTATGAGATCTGGTGCACGTGTGGTTACAACATGGCTTTCTTTCTGGACGCCAGTTAAATGGAGTTGCCTCCACGAAGCTGCCTTTACGGTGACTCATTCCTCGACTTTCGAGCGACGGGAAGAAGCAATGAAAAAGTATTCCCTTATGTGTCTTTGTCTGAAATTCAGGAAATGAAAGATGACTCTTACATAGGACTGTTCGAGTGAAGAAAGGTTCCATTGTAGCTAAGGCCCGGGTGACTTACAAAAGCAGGTCAGTAAGGCGTGGCTCTTAGGAAACCAGGATCGAATATGCAATCGAAGTAGCATCATCTCAACAGAGATGGGGGGATGCTGATCGTTTTCATGAGCCGATCAGTTCAGCTCAAACAACTTGCAAAGTAGTAGAATGATTCTGGGAGATGTCGCACCTCAACAAAAGAAAGTCGAAGGCCCTCGCCCTCCGCCACCTCCTCCCTCGCCACAAGAAAGTAGTGTGGTGTTCTGGTGCTGAGATGTTCAACATGACGTCTGCAATGCAAGTGAATGCGTGAGCATGTGAGTTTGCATTTGGGCCTCAGTCAGCACGACCTCCTCAAGTGCTGCTATTGCTATACTATCTATTGCTAGTTATGTTGGACGGTGATGAAAATAGTTTGACTTGCGCTCATGCTGGCTAAGACCAATCCGCGTCGGGAGTCGGGAAGTGCTGAGCCATGTCGGAAATCAACCTCAACACAGCTTTGATCCTCTTGCCCCTTTTACAACGAGGGGTGTCGTACATCCAAGCTGAAGTGTTGCGGACCAAGGAAGATCTTCGGGCAGCCAGGGAAGACGAAATCACAGCTCGTCACCTCCAGCAGCGACAATGAGACGTCATACAAGTTCAGTCGAGGGAGAACCCCCAGCGACTCACTGAAGTGATCGAGGCCGTCGCAGAACTTTTCGACAAGCAAACGCGGACTCAAGTTCCAAGCGCTCAGCTTTTAGCTGATCTACATGTCCGGAGATGGCAAACACAACAGAAAGAACCTCGTTTTGACGATGCCAGACACACAAGCGTAGGCCTGAACTTGATTACAACAATTGCAACCGAGTGTTGAAAATCGGTTGGGCAAGTGTCTTGCAAGACTTGTTGCGAGGGAATGTGCATTGCAAGTGCCGCTGCTTGCTTGACAAACATTGTTGAGAACCTGGAGTCGTTGGCAGTCGTGAGTCGTCTGTAAGGTTCGGTTGCGTTCATGTCTGCATACGCTGTGAAGTTCAGTTGCGTTTGCCGTCATTGCACGTGAATGCGCGGTGTCATTGAGATCTGATGCAAGTGCGTTTTCAGTGTGGCCTTCCCTCTGGGCACCAGCAAGTCGGTACGTTGGGATTCGTAGGAATGCTTGTGCAAATATATATAACCGCAATTGCATTATCTCACGCTCGGGCCTCAGCCAGCACGACCCCCTCCACGGGGACGCGGGGAAGTGCTGGTCGTCTCATCCTTCAGTCATTTGAGCTCAAGTGGCCCCAGTTTGGCCTTCCCATGAGTCTGGCCAACAAAATGGGTGTTCAGTCACTTGCACCTGTGATTGCACTGGCAGCTATTCTGGTAGCCTTACATAATGATGAACTGGGTCTGCATGTGCAAGGGAGTGCATGCGGTCATTGCACGTGACTGCGCGTTGTCATTGGAAGTGACTTCACCAGATCAGTGAAGAACAAGCATCGTCGACCGTCTCGTTTCCTTCCTCATGGAAGCTGTCATCCCTGTTGTAACAAAGGGCTAATAAGTGAAGTGTTGTTCGCTTGTTCATGTTATTCGTGCGAGTCGGCTTATTTGTGGCTCGTAGGAATGCGTGTGCAAGATTATGTAGCCATGGTAGCATCATCTCATGCAGTGCCCCAGCCAACACGACCCCCTCCATGTAGGGGAGACGGTAAGTGCTCATCGTCTCGTGTTTCAGTCATTTCAGCTGGAAATTGTAGAAAGATCCTTAAAGATGTCGTACCCCAGCAGAAGCCTCAAAACGGACAAGAGCCGCAAACTTGCAATTGATAACAGTCCGCCGAGGCCACAGGCCCAGGCGTCTTCGTGGTTACCTCAGGTACCCTCCACCTAATCCTCCTCCCCTCCCCCCCCCCTCCCCACTCCCCCCTCCCCCCGTTCCTGGCCTCCCCCCACCCTCCCGCTTCTCCTCCCCCTCCCCTTCCCCCTCCCTCGCCCCCCCTTTGGCTTTTGCGTCAATCCACTGCCTTTCTTTCTTTTCAGGCTCCTTCTGTCTTGCATTTTCTTGTTCCGGGCGGCATCATTGCGGGGTTGGGTTTGCGGGGACCGCCTACCATGTGCCTGCATCATCCGCTGCACCCTCGCCCTGCCACTACAGAGCCGAGGCGGGCGGCGTAGCGTTAAAATTAAGTTTGGCCTTCCGACGATTCTTGACATCAACATGGGCGTTAAGTCACTTGCCTCTGTGATCGCACTTGCAGCTATCCTGGCAGCTTGAAATGCTAATGACCTCAGCCTCGTGATGTCTGCAAACAGGTCAAAGCTTTTCCATAAGTTTTGTTCGCTGTGAAGTTCAGTTGAGTTTGCCGTCATTGGAAGTGAGTGCGCGCTGTCATTGAGATCTGATGCTGTAATATCTGCCAGCAGGTCAGAGCTTTTGCAGAAGTTTCGTTCGCTATTAAACTTGCGCTGCCGATGAGTCTTGTCAACAAGATGGGTGTTGCGTCACTTGCCTCTGTGATTGCACTTGAAGCTATCCTGGCAGCCTGACATGTTGATGAGCTGAGCGCTGTGGTGTCTGCAAGCATGTCAGAGCTTTTTGCATGAGTTCGGTCGCTGTGAAACTCAGTTGCAAGTGAATGTGCGCTGTCATTGACATCTGATGCAAATGCGTTTTCAGCATTGCCTTCCCTTTGGGCACCAGCACGTCAGCAGGTTGTGGTTCGTAGGAATGCTTGTGCAAATATATATATATATATATATATATATATTATATACATAACCGCAATTGCATTATCTCACGCTCGGGCCTCAGCCAGCACGACCCCCTCCACGGGGACGCGGGGAAGTGCTGGTCGTCTCATCCTTCAGTCATTTGAGCTCAAGTGGCCCCAGTTTGGCCTTCCCATGAGTCTGGCCAACAAAATGGGTGTTCAGTCACTTGCACCTGTGATTGCACTGGCAGCTATTCTGGTAGCCTTACATAATGATGAACTGGGTCTGCATGTGCAAGGGAGTGCATGCGGTCATTGCACGTGACTGCGCGTTGTCATTGTAAGTGACTTCACCAGATCAGTGAAGAACAAGCATCGTCGATCGTCTGTTTCCTTCCTCATGGAAGCTGTCATCCCTGTTGTAACAAAGGGCTAATAAGTGAAGTGTTGTTCGCTTGTTCATGTCATTGGTGCGAGTCGGCTTATTTGTGGCTCGTAGGAATGCGTGTGCAAGCTGATATAGCCATGGTAGCATCATCTCATGCAGTGCCCCAGCCAACACGACCCCCTCCAAAAAAGGGAACGGGGAAGTGCACATGTCTCATCCTTCAGTCATTTCGCTTCACTTTAGCAGGAAATTGTAGAACGATCCGGCAAGACGTCGTACCCCAGCAAAGGCCTCACCACTCACAGCACTTTGCAACCCTGAGCTGGTTACCTTTGTACGCGTTGCTCTTGCTCCAGGTCCTACTCGCACCCTTCTATACTGAAGGGGGCGGGCGTGTGTGTGTGTGTGTCTGTCTGTCATCCCCGTGCCTAACGGTTAAAGTAGCTAACATATACGCTGGATCTAGTTGTCTCAGAAACCGGCAGGGGGCCGAGGGGACTTGTGCCTCAGCCAATGAAGACCGCAAGTGCAAGGACGTGTAAACGTACCTGCAGGGTTGCTCCTGGATCCCATAGTGGATAGCTGGTGGACTCTCCATTGCATTCAGTGCTCTTTGCTTGCATGACAGTTCTGAGTGAGCAAGTGTGCATTTCAAGCTGTCTGTCGCAGTCTCCCTCATGTCAACTAGGTAGAGAAAGTGAGTTTCGAGAGACAGCGGAAACAAGAGCCACATCACCGACGACATTGCAGATCATGAGATCTGGTGCAAGTGTTTGTTTGTTTATCTCCATCTGTCTGATTTCCTTTCTGCTTGAACGGTCAGCACTAAAACAAACACATGCAAAGCGTGCATCCCTGTGATTTGCTCAGTTCTGGCTGGGCAGTCTGCATCTCTCCCTTTTCGCTTTCTTCTCCGCTTCTGCTGCTTTGATCTGTTGAGGAGGCTCTTGGCGATTCTCGTTCCGAAGCTCTCAGCAGCACGCCTGTTCCGCACCCACTTTCGGTCTTTTGCGAGGATCTTTATGTCATCATCCCCCATCGTTGGCGGAAAGAAGGACTTACCTCAGAAACAGTGAGCTTACACTGGCATGCAGCTGGCTGAACGTGCACTAATTTCGGCATAGACGTGCAACAACCGATTTTTCGACATTTCGAAGCTTACGACATCTTACACCAGGAACGGATCCCCATGTGCATGCCTGTGAGCAGGTTGAAGAAAACGGCACCGCAGCCCCAGCTGTCAGCCTCCGGCCCAAAGAAGCCATCCTGATGCAACTGTCGAACGACAGCTTGTTTACATTGAACGTCCAGCACATCCTTTTAGTGGAAATCCCAAACCCCTCGATTCTTCTTCCATCCATGGGTCCCACATCTCTGGCGCCATGTATGCACTTGTTCCTCGGATCTCCTTGCGACCTCATATTCAGCTTATGGAAATGTTTGACACCTGACGCTTTGATCAGACACGAACCCATGATCACCAATCGAGCGGCACTTGAGGGGGCGACACCTTTCACAACACCTACCATTGAACCAGTGACTCTTTTCTGCTGTCGACAAGACAGCAAGGAACAGACCCAAGCTTTCTCAATCTTCGAAACAGAGTTGCACGTCCAGCAAACACGGCTCAGCTTCGGTCCAAACATGACAAGCGGCTTCGTTTGAACCTGGTCGCGAGGCCCAAATCGATCATCTTCAGCCTAGTCATATCCTCGGTTCTGAACGAGGCTACAGGTATCTACGAGTGCAGTGACTAGCGAAGCTAAATGGATCCAGTCTGTGTCCGTCGTCTGAGCCTCGTGCGGTGCTGCGGTAAATGAAATTCCTCGGCAGAGTCAAGGCAGCAGAGTCCATCCGAAGTGAACAAGGCAATGCCGCAGCTACAAGTAGCAGAACTTGCAGAAACAGGGTTACCGTTTACTGCAGGCCGTCTCAGAATGCAAGGCTGCTCGGGACTCAGGACACTTTATATTTCTGTCGCACCGTGGGAGTACGACTAAAGCGAAACACTGCAAACACGGCGTCTCCGGCTTCACATCGAAGTGCCCAATGTAGTGCTCGTGGCAGCACTTTAGAGCGGCCAGCATTTGCCGCATCGTGGTTGCCGCCTGGTGTCATCTTCAGCTTGGTCCAAGTAGTCAGTCCGTGCCACGTGGGAGGCGACTTGAATGTGCTCCGGCCCAGCGCAGAAGGGTGGCCTCCTTCTCCTCGACCCGGCCCTCATTCTCAAGCCGTGTTTGCAGATCCGGACCTTTGGTTGAGTTCGTGTCAAGCGTACACAGCTGTCTCATGCCGTCTCATTAGCCGTTTCCGCCCCGTGTGTCGGAGTCCAACCTTGCCTTGACAAAGTTCGAAAACGAGGTACATGTAGCTGCCCTCATCGAAGTACCTGAGCAGCTTGACCTCATTGGGCAACAGTGCAGCCGGAAAGGGCCGGCTTCGCGGTAACTACTGGAAATACTGGAAGACAGCAGCAAATCCTATGTTTGCAGCATCAACCGAAGTAACGAGCACAAGGACTCCGACAGTATGCCGCCTCTGTATTGTCCCAGTGGCCACATTGGGATGGTCCAGGTCCATCAGGGCATGAATCTCGTTCATGAGAAGCTCTTGCCTGCAATGACCCACATACTTCAAAAGGATGCCAAGTCATAATGATGCCAGTGAGTGTTCAAGGAAATATGCCTGAGATCCGTGCAACTTCTCATCATTCTCCGACTTGCGGATCTTCTTGACCTTCACTGCTGCAGACTGAGTGTTGGCTTCTGCATCGAGAACAGATTTCTGAGCTCTGTGCCGCAAAGGCAAAGCCGGGCCCGAGCATCTGAAAACATGTGTCTGGTCGCTGTTGAAAGCTGAATAGCCCTATTACGCCTGCCTTGTGCTGGGCCAAGTAGATGGTGCCGAAGGAGCCGAAACCTAGCTCCTTCCCACGGACATAGGCCAGGGTCGTCACTACAACTCCACTAAGACAACGCTCCTTGCCGAGGGAGTAGAAGTCTTCCAATTGACCGTGGCTTAAGCAGCGGTACACGAAGTCCGTGTGCTTTATCAAACCTAACTGCAGGCGAAGGTGCATCGCCTTACGATCTGCTGAGTAGCACAGGGGCTTCGAGGCCCCCGGCCAGAAAACGATCGCACACATTTGAAGATTTTCCACAGCAACTTCCTCCAACTGTCGGGGATGCTGCTGCCACGGCACACTTGGATGGTTGTCGAGAACCATAGTTGGGTTGCAGACAAAGCCTCTACACCTCTCGTGATGTGTAAAGCACGACCGCAATATCAAACCAAGCATCTCGCTCAGAACGATAGCTATGATCGAAAGGCTAACCACAGCATGAACCACATCGATAACCCCATGCTTTCCCAAACCCGTGGGAATGGCAGCCTTAAGGCAGCGTGGTAGCAAAGCAATTGGAAAGCTGAACACCAACCACAAATGGCTTCTTCGATGAAGCATACGTACCAATATTCAAGCTTTAACTGATTGTCCCGCTGCACTCCAGGTGTCTGGCGCTGTGACAGCTTCTTCTTCTCACTCTCCGGGCTTGCCGTAGCCCTCACAGATCCCAGAAATCCGAGAGAACACGAGCAGTGGCGGGGTCGACCAGCAATCAGCATGCATCAATTGTGCCTGTGGCATCTTCCGGCTCTGCACCCGTGCATCAGTTCTTCTCGTGTTGCAATGTGTATGCGTCTACCAAGATCACGCAAGATGGCCAAAGGAGGCCGCCTGAGGCGGTGGAAACTCGTGAAGTCTTGGCAGAAGACGGGTCGGTCTTTCTCGATCCTCGTCAGGGAACGTTGGTTGACAACCTAAAAGTGTATTCCAGACTTGCATACTTGCACAAAGACACAGTGCGACTTGCTGGAGGCGGCTTGAACCCGCTCCATGGCTTAAGCCGAATTCCTTCTGATCATCATCGTGCTTGTGGAAAGCAACCATCGCCGCAGTTGATGCTCGTCGCGACTTCGTCTCGCTAGAGATCTTTGCAGCCCTAAGGGCCTCGAAGATTTCGAAAAGCCCGACTACAGAGTCCAATTTTCCGATAGTGGGCTTGCAAGACTCAGTGCTGCAACTTGAGCTAATGTAGGCCTTACTCGGCAAGCTCCACAAGAACTGTATGGCCTGCTCCACGCGATGACGGGGGCCACATGGAACAAAGCCGTAGCAGTTCGCCGCATGGCTCCATGAGGATTACGGCCTTGCGCATGGACCTTGCTGTCGAGCTGCTGGTTGCTTTCACTTCGGCTCTGGACTCTGCGAGCGAGGCTGGCTTGTGCTTGAGTGAAGGGGTGCAGCCATGTTTGGAATCGCGCACAGCAAGCCCTTATCAACGTGAGGGCACACGGGGTTGCCAAGACCATTGCTGCGAAACACAGTCAGACATGCTACCAAAAAGATCTTCCATGAGCTTGGGAGTTTGCGCACCGCCCAGCGGTTGCGGAGCTCGCCCCAGAGATCGCGATCCTGCAGCATCGCAGGAACCACTAGCACCAGCACCGGGTCAATCCCGCTGCAAAAGGAGGCGGACGAATCTCGCTCTGACACGGCAGGCCGTCTTGTTCTGGCAATGACGCAGGGAACTCTGTTCGGTTCAGTTCGTGCGTGGCTCGTTGGGCAGGTGGTTCGGTTCGCCGCTTCTGTTTGTAGTTGAGGATAAGTTTCATGGTCCCCTTTGAGTAGGGCTTTGGATTAATCATCAATCAGGGATCAGACTTACGAATTACAGGCAGGAAGCCGGAATTTCGTTTGGCTTACATACGACAAGTATGGAAAAGCCTGGGCCGATTTTGCGATGGGGTTTTGCCTGGGTTGACTTTTTGTGGCTAGCCGGGTCGGAAATATGCCTTGCAAGGCAAGCAGAGACTGCATGGGGCCTGGCGCAGACGAGCACAGCTTTTCGTCGCTTTGGGTTTTTTGTTGCCGGTGCACGGCAACGAAAAGTTCGTGGCGGTTCGGTTCCCGAACTTCGTTCGGTTCCACGAGCTTCCTTCTGGGCAGGTATGGCAGGTGGTCAATGCCGTTGTCAACTCCGGCAGACGGATGAGAATCGAAGGAACAGAACAATTGAAGACATGCTCGGCATCTGGCCATCATCCATCCGAGGCCGGGAAAGAAATCCTGGACACTTCGCCCGGGTTGGAAACGGAACTTCAGGATGATCGTGAGCCGTGCGCAGCTACGCTGCAAGCGAGAGGCCGTTCGGTAGGCGACCTTGGGATCCTGGACGAGGGTGGAGTAACCTCAGACTAGCCGCCGGCTCTTGCTGTGCGATCCGAGAGAAACCCTGCACATGCAAGGAGCCCCCTTGGGAACGGCATGGCGATAAATGAATCCTTAAACAGGCCCGGCTTCGAGTAGTCTGAGGACGCGGACCGTTGTCATTCCAAGCACTGACACAAAACAGGTCTGTGTCCGACCCTTAGCTCCAGCTGCAGTGTTTCCCGTCTCTTCTTCAAATGTCTCTGCCACTTGTCGTACATCTTCGTACATGCCCAAGCTCAGGGTCGATCTTAGCAAGGTTCGCATGGCTCCAAAGTACCTGGCTCGTGCAGCGCAGCAATATGAAGTAATAAGTACAATGAAAGCCTGGACAATCCTTTTTCTAGCAGCCGAAACTTTCCGTTTGCAACACGCGACGAAAAGCGGAGCTTCGCTGACTTCGGTTTTGCAAACCAAGCCCTTAGAAGCCATCAGGTATGCAAAGCGTCCGTGAGAATCATGGGTGAAACAAGTCCGTGCTTGTGGTTCATTCTCGTGCTGCCAATACGGGAGTGATGTTGCCTCTTCACGCCACACGTCATGATCGAACCGGCCGGAGAAGATCTGGGCATATCTGGGCAACTGCGCTCAGCCCACTGAGACCTGCTGGCAGTGCGCAGCAAACTTGAGGCGTCTGCGAAAGGTGCTAGGTCACTGTCTCTTCCACCATCTTCCCCCAGACATCCCCAGACACGTTCTAGATGCCGAGATCAGTGTCAAGGTGCACGTGTCGAAAAATTGAGAACTGCGTCAGCTCCGTGCAATCTTCGCTGCTACGGAGCCAGGCCTGAGGAAAATTTTAGATCTCAGAAGGATTGCGACCTCATGACGTGATAGTGGCCAAAGTAAAGTCGATCTTCAGACCTGCAGACGTCGTTCTTCGGCGTCTTCTGGCAAGCTCAGCAAGCTGACCGTATTTTATGTCAGCTCAACTCTCTGCAAATGCGGCCACCCTGTTCCAAAATGGGAAGTGTAATCGAAACGTGTGGAAGGTTGCCTTGGGCGCACAAGCTCGGCAGCATCGGCGGTTCAAAATCTAAGAACAGCTGAATCAGTTGAACTGCTTCTAGCCCGTAGTGCCACTCTTGGGGGCCTGGGCTGCGCTGTAGTCTGGTGCAGGACATGCAACAGGCAAATGCCAGGGTATGCCAAGGGGTACAGGGATGCAATGGTCAAAATCACTACATCGCCACAACAGCTGTGCTCTGATTGCTCTGTTTGTTTCTCGAAACCTGGCTGCATGATCAGCATACGGGAGAAAAAGAACCGTTCGCAGCTTTATCTGTTGCCCACGCATTCTTCATTGCGGGTGTGCAGTCGGCTTGATATAGCAGCTTTCAGCAAAAAATACGTTCCATGGCAGCACAGACTTGAGAAAGAAGAGAGAAACAGCACCAAAAACCCTCGCAGGTATTGAAGCCATTATCACTATTTCATGAGCTGTCCCGGGCTGTGACATTCTGTCCTGCGAGGACATGCGTTTTTCTGAAGACTCCGTTGGACGCGTTCGGTGATGGATCCTTCCCAGCTCGAAGGACGCTGCGTTTGCGACTCTCAACTGGAAAAAGCCTGCCTGCACATCGATGCGGACAAACCCTCTTGGCTGCAAGACGCGAGGAACACGCACAGCCCTTCAGGAGATGTTGCACAGTGCAACTTGCATTGACGGTGAGGGTCAGCCCGTTTGTGCATTTCGGGATGCATGATGGTAAGTCTCCTGACCGCAATTGTCCTTATGTCAAGCTGCCTGATTTTGCAAGACCTGGCCGTTCCTTGGATCGGAGGCTGTGCAAACGAAGGAAAGTGAAACATGAGCCCCAGATAACGTGTTGCTGTTATGCTACGTGTTGTCTCACTCGACCTTCATGCTGCAACTCAAAACTCTCGCAGCATTATTCAATATACCCATTGAGGCTTGACCGGCTTCCTCTGGCATCAGTTGTAAGCTTTTCGACTCTTACCATCTGCTAAACTGCTGATTGCCAAGCTGCTTCAGCTGGAACACCAGTTCCGCATGATCCAGCTCCAGCGAATGGAACTGGCTAAGCACAACCTCGATCGAGGGCATCGCAGGGCCTGATTTCCTAATGGCAGTCTGGTGGACTCCGTTCTAGCTTGACAGTCTTAGCTGGAGAGGGTGAATGCCACGGACTGCCGTTGGCTGTTCGGCTGCGGCTGAGATGCTGTCCTGGTGCGCCGCTTGGTGATCTCATCTGGAGCATTGTTGAGCCCGAGGCCTGGACAGAGCATTGGAGCGTCATCACCTTGCATCTTCATACTACATACGTGGCAGCCCGATTTGTCACCAAGTTTTGGTCGTCGCTGTGCTAAGTGCTAAACTATCTCAAGATGCGAGCTCGATGCAGCGCCATTCCATCGGAAGTTTTGACACTCGCCGCCGACAGGGAACCAGCCGCGACCGGAAGTTCCAGTCCCAAACGTCTCGGTCCCTCAGCAAAAGCACGGCCTCGGTACTTGACAAAGTCGTCGATGGTCAGCATTGTAGCCTGCAAGCTACAGGGAGCGCCAACGGCACAACAGTCGGAGACGAATCTTCGTGACCACGAGCCTTTTTGATGGTCGTTGATTTCAACAGGACTGTAATCAAAGCGGGTCTGTTCAGACACTCGGATCGCAAGCAGGGAGGCATAGAACTAGCTGGAATATCACAAGCCGCAGTAGTCGCAAATGGCGTGCGGATTCTGGGTCGAAAGGTTCAAGCCTGCTATCTCCTCAGCTTTACACAAGCACCCGTGCAGTCGCGGCCAAACATGCCTCAACTCTAACGCTCAGCAACCTCAGCTTGCCTCTGTTAGAATAAACGCTGAAAGCATGGGTGGGAAGAGGGATTATACGGAAATTACGAGCTTTAGCCTGTGCTCTCCGACGCAAAACACTATACTGACCATACTCTGACCAAGCAGGAACACACACACACACATACACTGCACACGCACTCTCTCCTTCTTCGCTCGGTGCATGAGCAATTGCCTCGCTCTCGCTCTCGCTTGCTTGCACGCAGCCAGAAGCAGGTTAGGTCAACCTACTTCGCGCACGAGTGCGCGCTGGACAAATACGAACCGAGTTTTTCCCCTCTGGAGGTGCGAGGCCCCGGTTTGCACTGTTGCATCCCCCCTGAACAGACCCCGTACTTTATCTGAAGTCAATCCCCGGCCTCGCGCCTCATCACCGGTTCCGTTTTGGTTCCGGCTGGGACTCAAAAACGCAAGTTAACTGTCCCCCTGCGCAAGTCCCCCATTGTCGGGTTTTCTCGGCCGTACTACTCGCAACATGGCAAGACACGCTGTATTGCGAAGGGACATAGCGCAGCACAAACATCATACTGAGGCCCCGGCGAAAAACATAGCAGTTATCGTAGCAAAGTTTCATGACATGCCCCCGTGTGTCTTGCTCTTGCTACGATCTTGCTGGTAGCTTCGGCACCCTCCACAAAACAGGGCCCTCACACATTCACTTGTACTGCTAGGGACCGTACCTACGTGTTCAGAGTCACGATTCGTCTGGGTGCCGAAACCCCCCTTGATCATCGTAGAACATGGCGTGCATACGGCGTCTTCTATGGCTGCTGGCACTCAGTTGTCCTTCCGGTGGGTCGGCGCTGTCGGCATCGAGTTCGGTGTCCCCCCGTTGTTGGCGTTGCGCTGCCAGCGCGGCTTGCAGCTCTTCTTCTTCTTCTTGCCTCTCCATGGCTTCCATGACGGAAACCAGTTCCGCATCCGTCGGCCCCCCTTCCTCTGGTTCCGAGGGCTGGCTGCGACCGACGTCTTCCCGGTCGTCTTCCGGGATGCTTCCACTCCATTGTGCAGCGTGTAACGGTGGCACCCTCTCTCTCTCTCTCTTCCCCCGGCATAGGGGCACCCGTCGTGTTGACGGCCACGGGGGGTGAAAATAGAACGTTGAACATTGTCAAGGCTATAGCCATAAAGTACAAGATGACGAATGACAATGTTCCCCCGTTCTTTCTGACATATAGCATATGCCGGATCTCCCTTCGCGAAGATAAAATTTAAAATGAGAGTTGGTGAGCAAGTAACTATCCTTTAGGGGGACTCTCTGGCCATGCGTACAACGACGGTAGATTGGGGGCTCGGTGCGAAAATCAGGACACAGCGCTCACACAGCAAGCCTATAGGCCTCAAGTCAAGATAACGAACACTCCCCCATGTCTACCTGTTCACAAGTCACAGTCAAGCTCGGGCCTTGTTCCAAGAATATTCATGTCATTAAACCCATGCCAAACAACGACATGTGAGAATACTTTCTGAGGCCCAAGCGAAGTCCTTTTCTTGGTCGCTTCCCCCCATGCTTTTGGACAACAAGAGAGAGGGTAGAAAAGACAATGTGGAGGAATGCGGCTCAGGACTTCCCACATGATAGCTTTACGCTTCACGACCATCGCTGCACCACAATTGTTGGCTCTCTCCCTCTCTCTCTCTCTCGCACTCAGCCGAAGGGAAGCTCTCTCTTTCTTTCTTCAGGCCTGAGGGTAAGCCCCCGCGGGAGCTCGCTCTCTCTCTCTCTGTCTCTCTCTCTCTCGCTCCTTCAACATGGGCTCTCATGCTTATTGGTTGAGAAGAGGAAGATATATCTTCGACCAAACAAACAAGAATTTCTTTCCGTTTCCCAAACCAAAGAACTGAGAGCACCATTTCAGCAAGAGCGTTGTCATGCAACTGAGCGGAGGCTGTCTTGCTTCCTTTTTGCAGAAGGATTGTGCTAGCTAAGACGAGGGTGGAGGATTCCAAGGATTTGAAACCGGGAAGAAGCTATCACATTCCGAAGAGCAAACGGTTTCTTATCCAGATGCCTAGGGGCTAGCACGGTTCCGATCAAGAAGAAGCAGGCTTTCGTGTTTCTTCTTAACCAGCAGGGAAGCAAGTTTGACTCCTTGTTGCGAGGTGGATTTCAGGTGCTGTCAACACATGTGAGGGAGGTTCCCTTCTTCAAGTGGACAGCAGGTACTCCTTGTAGTCCTGCTGCGAGTAAGATGACGTAACTGAAAGCCATGGAGTTCTGTCACATCGATCAATGTTGTGGTGACATGATCATCATAATTGGGTACATATTGGCCGGTCATGTGATGCATAAGGATTCTCGCCATGTACAGATCATGGTTTAATCTTGTACATACATGTAAGTATGGGTGTGCAATACGCACTCACATGCATGTGTATAGAACTGTGTATATATAACTTATACATATTATATATATATATATATATATATAATATCACGCATGAAGACATGCTTACTTATCCA